TTTTTCTTTTTTAAATACACAATCACTGAATAAGAGGCCTTAGAAATTCTATAATTGCCCAAATAAGCGCAATTGAAAGACTATAGTGTTGAAGACACTGCCAAAAGCCTGGCTACTCAAAGTGTAGGACCTGAACCATCTGGGAACATATATGCAAGGGGAGAAACAGAAATAAAGACTGAGAAAGTTTATTTCCCAATGATCCTCTCAAAAGAATCTAAAATATGAACCAACAAAATATGAACAAAAACTAAGAAAGAATACACCTGGGAAAGTTGTGAAAATGAATTCTATTACACCAGTGTTTTAGTAAGTCTAGGGAGCATCGATCCAGAATGTACTACGAAAGTGGAGGTTCCTAAGAGGGCAGTTTACACGAAAAAGGAATCCTACAGAATGAAAGGTATAACTTAGGATTCAATAAGAATATAACAAAGCAGAGAAAGAGGGAGAGAGGAAAAAAAAGAAGGCTAGAAACGCTGGATATACAGGAGTTGGGGAGGGGGGGCAACATGAATTTAGAACGGTGACCAATCAAAGAAGGAGAAAAAGGGACCGGGATTTAGCTCAGAGGGTCCACCGCTGGCCTCGCAAGCACAAGGTCTCAAGTTTGATCCCTGGTACAAAAAAAAAAAAAGAAAAAAAGAAAAAGGAGAAGTCAAAGGAATTAGGGAACAGTGAGGAAGACTTAAGGCTTCTTCCTATAAAGAAAAAAACTAAAGGGTAACATTATTTTGACTAATTGTTAGAATGTAAGAAAGAATTCATTTGGTCATTTTCCTTCAAGACTCTTGCCACTATGGCCCTATAGAAAAAAAACAAAATCCTGGCAACTGCAGACTTGCCTCTACTGTGAAGAATATGTACCTCCTTATAGCACATTAACAAACACTTTTATTATTCTTCAGCTGTCACAATTAACCAACTGTAAAAAGTAACATTTTATAAGGTTACAAAATGAAACAAATATTACCAATATTATTTTTTAAGTTTTTCTGAATAGCAGCTGAGGAAAGGAGTGAAAAATGGAAAAGATGGAATACTAACTGTCTGGACTTATCAAACAGTAACTCAATAGAGTCTGTACATTCATAACAGAAAAGTAATTCCAAGTATATAAAGGTCACAAGGCAAACCATGGAGCAATTCAAAAGTGATACATATAATTACAGTATCCTTAAAATAAGACAGGCCCAAAGTGGGTGTGCTGACTTAAAACCTCATCTAACAGATATCAAGGTGAAACTAAATCCTTAATTTAGTATTTAAACAAACAAAAAAAACTAGCATAGCATATTTCAAATATAAAATATCTACCAGAATAATTCAACATAAAGAAAAATCAAGGCCTTTAAACAGCAAAACTGAAATAGAAAAGTCTGACAACAGACCACTTCTTTTCATTTATAAATCCTCTGGCACTAACTTTTAAAAACTGTTCACATAATTACATCTTTTTGTTAAAAATTTCTTTGATAAGGTTTGTAAGAAAAAGACAATTTTGATAATATGAAAATTACATATTTAATGCTTTCACTTTTAAAGATGCTCCTTATTTAAAGATTTTAAAGTGTGAGTTTGTGGCCAGGCACAATGGCACAAGCCTATAGTCCCAGCACTTAGGGGCTGAGGCAAGAGAACTGCCTTGAGTTTAAGGCCAGCCTCAATTGCATAGTGAGACTCTATGGGGGGTGCACCCAAATGGTGTGGCTTTGTATATAGACATGTATACTGTAACAGTTAAAATGTATTGGTTATAGGAAAATATCTCACAGGGCCAGGGATTTAAAAAAATTTTTCAAATGAAAAAAGAAAAATATCTCACATAACATTATCTTAATGTTCCCACAGATAGATTAGCACAAAGATTGCAAAGCAGAAAAAAAAAAAAACCAAAAAACCCAAACCCAAAAACTGTTTCAATAAAATTCAACACTACAATAGCTAGCTGAGATGAACACAAATTATTTAATGTGCTGCAAAACAGTGGCGACATCTGATATTTTTAAAATATCTTTCTCCTTTCTAATAGTAGCTTTTCTAATACTTTTTTAAAAATTCCAAGCATTTCTTTGAAAGAGAAACAACTTAGCAAATTCCAGTTTTCATTTCTACTTTAAGAACGTGCTTTCCATTCTCTAACCAGTAGTTTACTTAAACTACCCAAACTTCCAATACTATTTTGCACAGTATTTAAAAACTTCTGACCGGGGATTTAGCTCAGCGGTAGTGGCCTGCTTATTTAATGTGCTGCAAAACAGTGGCGACATCTGATATTTTTAAAATATCTTTCTCCTTTCTAATAGTAGCTTTTCTAATACTTTTTTAAAAATTCCAAGCATTTCTTTGAAAGAGAAACAACTTAGCAAATTCCAGTTTTCATTTCTACTTTAAGAACGTGCTTTCCATTCTCTAACCAGTAGTTTACTTAAACTACCCAAACTTCCAATACTATTTTGCACAGTATTTAAAAACTTCTGACCGGGGATTTAGCTCAGCGGTTCAGTGGCCTGCCTTGTAAGCGCAAGGACCCGAGTTCAATCCCCAGTTTAAAAAATAAAGAAAGAAAGAAAATTCTGTACTTGACTTGTGGGGAGAGGCTATCAAAATATTTCACTTTAATGTAAAAAATTATGGTGTTTCATGTATCACCATAAAAGGCTGCAGATTTACCTTATTATTTCCAAAGAAACATGTTCTTTCTCCCTTCGAAGACAAGATCTTCCTACACTGACCAGCTACTGGGCCCAAACAATCCTCCTGCCTCAGCCTCGCAAGAAGCATGGACTACAAACATGTGCCCTGACGTGCCAGGTTTAAATTACTTCTACATACATCTTATGTAGCAATCTTTGCCTACTAGGAAATATTAAGTCTTCCTCTTTCTCTCCTTAATTTCATTCCTCAGAAATTAATCAATATCTTGTAAACTCCGTCATGCTGTTTCACTCAAAATTTTGTTTTCACAAAAGTCATCAAGTATACATGTTTCAACACAAAAATATTTTCTTTCAATTTATTGTTTGGTAATCAGGAATATGTAATGACCAGGAAAGATAGTATTCCAGTAAATAAAACATTGCATATTAAAGAAACTAAAAATAACAATCTATATCCCAATGAAAAGCAGCCTAACAGTCATAATTTGAAAATTTAAGGATTCTCTAATTTTTCTTTCTTTTTTTTTTTTGTACCGGGGATTGAACTCAGGTCCTTGTGCTCACAAGGCAGGCCACCGAACCGCTGAGCTAAATCCCCAGGTCTCTAATTTTTCTTATCAAAATTAGCTTGAAGTTTACATTTCTCCAAAACTACTTAATACACAATGACTAAAGTAGGTGTGATTAACAGCAGTATGTTACTTATTTAAAAAAAATCATTTAAAAAATCCCCTCAACATATACTATTGTGATAACAAAGCAATAGAATTGGGGAGAAAATGAGTAAAAACAAGAGTCTAGACTGAATTTATAAATCAAGAGGCAACTTAGAGTACAAAGTCGTCCAGAAAATTGACATTTCAACTAGAGATTTATTTTTAAAGGAATTGAGAAAAAAATTTAAATATAATGAAAAGCTTGATTAACATAAATAAATTCACAAAGATATAACTATATCAGTACTTTTAAAACTCAAAGTTTTAGTTGGTTTCATTACTAGTTTACCAACAACTAGCTCTAATTTTTTAGTATATTACACTTTTATCTATACACCCAAATGTTGCAATTGTAAAATTAAAAAAAAAAACAAAAAAACCTTACAGGAAAAAAATTAAAACTATTCCAAAAGATTTGTCTAAGAAAATGATTTAAGCACATCTACTGAAAAATCAAGTACTTTTAACATTTCACAGATGTTTAGCATGTTTAAAAACACAACATAAAAAAGCAACACAAATTATACAAATGAACTCAACACCTAGAATAATGACTGATATCACTTCTTTAAACGATGTAACCAAAGGAAATTAACATATCAACCCCAATACCTCTAAGACTCCTTCAGATGCCTATAAAAATGTATCAGCTTATCTGATCTTTTTCAAAATCAACTTTTACCCCATGAGTCCACAATTACTACAGTACTTACCTTTTAAAATACAGTACGCATCTTTAATTTTTTTCTAAGTATATAATGCACACATTTTTTAAAAATCTTGGAAACATAAAGATCACAATTTAATAACCCTACTTTAGATCCGTGTTCTCCTAGGCATTTATCCAGACATACACATACCAAATTTTTTTTAAACCAAATCTGGGGTCATAGAAAATACGTGCCTTTTAATGGTTTATCTGAATCTATCAGCATCCAAAAATTATAATTCTTCCATTGCCAAAGTACAATGACATTATTAGTCGCAAGTTAATATGTTTACATGTACTTTTCTTTGATGAGGGTTAAAATGTTCGACTTTATTACATACACCTAGAGAAAGCACAAGCAGTTGGAGGGAGTATAGGCTAAACATCTCGATTAGTCTGTGAATCCGTCTGTTCAGATGAAATTGGAAAATTATCCAGTGCCTAGCACATCACAAACTCTACCGGTGCTAGCTAGCTCTTTCCTTAACAATAAAAGCGTGAATGCGACAAATCCACTGTTTCACTTTTAACATAAACACTGCAACTACAAGTGAAAAGGTGTTATTTTATCATGTTTCTACTCCTACTCTAAATTATTTCGCAATCCACATATAGTAGGAGACAACTCGGTAACAGTGCAACGATTTTACTTCGAGAAAATACTTTAAATATATTTTATACGTGTTTGGATACCTGGGAAAATATGCCCCGTGTTAAAACCTACCAGTCGAAATTTACTTTTCAAGTGGGACAATTAAAGAGAAATAAAAAACAAACCAGCTCTAGTTATCCCTTCAAACACAAAGTCCTGGGATGAAAAGAACTAGAAATTCTTCATGTGCCACGGACATAAGTAAGAATGGAAAAGGTCAATTAAGTCTGGAAACTTGCGTATCCCGGGATCGTAAGACTTACACTAACACACCGGGGTCACCTACAGACAGGGAGAGAAGGGGGAGACGACGACTGACGGCGAAGGCAGAAAAACACAAATGAGGCAAACGGGGAAAGCTAAGGGCCAGGCTCCGGCGGGGAGGCGGCCCCAGCGGGAGGCGGCAAACGCGGAGACGCCTTGAGGGGCGGCGACCCGAGACCCAGGCGGCCTGAGGGTTCCCAGTGCCACTGAGGAGACTTAGGAGGCTGCTGCAGGCCACAGATTTACCCAGTTGGAAGGATGGCGAGAAATCTGGAGATGGTCGGTTATAACTGTTCAAAAGTCCTGTGAAATACTTTGGAAAAACTCTGATGAACATGAACACCACTGACAAAGGCAAACTGGCTGCTCCAGTGACTAAATCTCTCTTAATATGTTGCGAAAAGGCGAAAGACAGAGTATCCACTCACGCACTTGCTGACTTCTGGGATGTGGTC